GGTTTACAGATATCAGTTTGGCTGCATCCCACAAGTTCTGATATATTGTCTCATTTTTCAGTTTTTTTGGGCAAGATTACCAATTGTTCTACAGTTTAGTCTTTGAACCACACATTCTTCAGGATTATTTAATCTCCACTTAAGTATGATTCTTTTCTTTAAAATAATGCTTACTGATTATAACTTTAATAAGTTATAAGGAAAGGAAATTTGTTTTTCTACATGTGTTTATAAGTTTTTATGCCTTTGTACGTCAATTTTTGTAAAGGTGACATGAAAAGCTAAAAAAAAAAGCATATTCCTTTATATTTCCATTCAAAAATCACCGGTCTAGCTAATCTAAATTTTCTAAAATTCTATTCAGATCTTTACCTCCTTTCTTCTTTACCTTTTTGCTAGACTTAGGTGTTGATGTTGTGGGAGGGAAAGACAGCAGCGAAAACCAGCCAGAGCTAAAAACAGAAGCTCAACTTTACTAAATCAAATTGTTCTCTCCTCCCCCCCCCCAAAAAAATGAACCAAGGTTTATTTAGGACTTACTGTGTAGAGAGTATAGTGCCTAGTCTATTGTATGTGCTAAATAAATGCTATTGAATTAATTCATCCAAAGAGATACAATGTTTAGCCACAACAGTAGATATGCTGTAGTGCAATGCTTCCTAAACTATGGGTCAAAATCCCAAATGGAGTCACATAACTGAATGTAGGGGTTGCAAAAAATTTGGCAACAGTAAAAGGTTTCTGAATGTGCAACAACCAACAATTAATTCAAAATCAAACACATGATGTTCGTGGCAGTGCTTGCTTTCATTGCATCGTGCAACTTCTCTGCAGCCTTGGTTCTGAACACACAACACGCACACTTTGCACCGCACATGGCATCATACCATACAAAGCCAATGAGCGCTGCCAGAAACATCTCCGCTTTTTGAGACTATTGTATGTTACGAATTGTAGTGTTTTTACTATAGATACAAAGTTTTCTACTCTTACAGAAACATAATAGTTTAATTACAGAAAATAAAGACTTTTAATATTTTCCTACTGTCATTCCCTCCCATGTAAGTATCAAATTAGTTTATCTTTGGATTGTAACGTGTTAGAATGTTTGATTTTAAAAATTGCTGTTATCGCCTTCTTTTACGGAAATATAAACATTTAATTGCAACAAGTAAAGGCCAAGGCCCTTTAATAATATTTCTCCACCATCACCACTGTATGTGCATGTAAATGTGAATGTCAATTTTTAAAATTAAGTACAAATGTAATTTCATTTATTTGAGAAATTGTTACCAATATATATTTATATTTTAGGACTAAAATATGTTTTGGTTATGGATAAGTGACTAAATTTAGGCAGAAGAAGTAAAAGTACTGATGACAACATGGCAGAGTCTTTGCTACCAGGTTGTAGTATACCTAAATTGACAAGAAAATATGTTGAATCATTTTTGCTATATGGATTTACTTCTAATAATGATGATGGTATGGAAGAACCTCTTTGCTCAATTTGTAATTAACTTTTGGCTGCAGAGAGCATGAAACCAGCCAAACTAAAACATCTTAATACCAAGCATGTAGCATACTGCAATAAACCAAAGGGATATTTTTAACGACTTTTAAAATCTTCAAACAAAGAAAAACAAAGGTATGATGAATTTGTTACTGTCAAAAAATTATTTATTTGCATCTTATTCAATTTATTTACGTGCAATAACTAAAAAGCCGTATGAAAAAGATCTTATGTTACCTGCTGCTATTAAAATGTCAGAAATAGTTCATAGGGAAAAAGTATGGGGATGAAATTCGTAAAATTCTTTTTTCGAATGACACTGTTTACAAAAGAATTTCTGAAATTAGTAATGACAAATTCCAGCAGCTTAATACCAGGCTTATTACTACATGCAGAGGTAAGGTGACTCTCAAGAGGTGGAAGTTTGAACAGATTATTGAAACTGAAAGGTGAAGTTGTTATATTTTTTAGCAGAAATCCTATTTTGTAAACTTTTTTCATAATGACTTATGGCTTTCAAAACTGTTGTTGAATATTTTTGAAAAACTCAATGATTTAAACATGTTGCTTCAAGAAAAAAATTGTGACATATTTATGTTAAAAGATAAAATTGAAAGTTTTACTAAAAAAGTTAACATATGGAAGAATAGAGTGGAAAATGGTTAAGAAATGTTTATAGCTATAAATGATTTTATCACTGAAAATAACCTTTCCAAAGATTTAATTGTAAGAGTTATAACTCATCATGTGAAGTGCCTGAAGACACAGTTTCAGAAATACTTCCCTCCAAATTTTGATTCTAAAAAACTAAGTTGGGTTCATAAACCCAACTTAAATTAAAATAAAATAAAAATTAAATTAAAATAAAATAATTAAATAAATTATTAAATTAAAATTTAAATTAAATAAATTTAAATTAAATTAAAATTTTAAAAAATCAGTCATCTGCCATTAAAAATTCAAGAAGAATTTGTGGAGTTATCAAGCCACACAGGCTTAAAACTTGAGTTTCCTAAAAAAAAAAATCATTAAATGAATTTTGGCTTGGGATTAGGACAGAATTTTCAACCATTTCTGAAATGGCCCTAACCATACTTCTGCCTTTTCGTACCATGTATTTATGCTAAGTGGGAGTTCTCAGCACGGAAGAACATTGAAGATGCTCTACATCCTGCAGTATTAACTATTCCTCCAAAATTTTATTCTTTACATAAAAATAAACAAGTACACCCATCTCATTAATAAGCAAATTTGCTTTCATCTTTAATAAATGGCAAAATTATACATATACCAAATAATTGTTTTAAAATACATATCTTCATGACTTATTCTCAGTAAATGTTTGATTTTTATACCTATTTTATGTAGCTATATATCAAGGGTTGTGTAAAAGTTTATCTGGTGAAAAAGGGACTGGAATAGAAAAAGTTTCAGAAGCCCTGCTCTAATGAAATAGAGTTTCTGAATCAGGAAGGCCTGGTTGGGCTCACCTGTCAGTGTCCTCAAGAAACCCTTACTTCATTTTTTTATTGAAATGAATTATGTTATTATATTGAAACTTTTATTATATTGAGACTTTTGGAGATGTCTTACATCCTTGCATTGCTGAGAAGAGCTAAGTCTATCAAATTTAGTCATCATACAAGGTGGCTGTTATTGTGTACAACATTCTCCTGGCTCTACTCACTTCACTCAGCACCAGTCCATACAAGTCTTTCCAGGTTTTTCTAAAGTCCACCTGCTCATCATTTCTTGTAGCACAATAGTATTCCATTACATTCGTATACCACAACTTGTTCAGCCATTCCCCATCTGATGGGCATCCCCTCAATTTTCAATTCTTGGCCACCACAGAAAGAGCTGCTATAAATATTTTTGTACATGTGAGTCCTTTTCCCATTTGTATGATCTCTTTGGGATACAGCCCTAGAAATGCTATTGCTGGGTCACAGGATATGCACATTTTGATAGCCCTTTGGGCAGAGTTCCAACTTGCTCTCCAAAATGGTTGAATCATTTCACAACTCCACTAACAATGCATTAGTGTTCCAATTTTCCCACATCTTCTCTAACATTTATCATTTTCCTGTTTTGTCATGTTGGCCAATCTGATAGGTGTGATGGTGGTACCTCAGAGTTGTTTTGATTTGCATTTCTCTAATCAATAGTGATCTAGAGCACTTTTTCACATGAGTATAGGATGGCTTTAATTTCTTCATCTGAAAACTGCCTAGTCAAGGGGAATGACTTGTAATCTTGTAAATTTGGTTCAGTTCTCTATATATTTTAGAAATGAGGCCTTTATCAGAGATACTGGTTATAAAAATTCTTTCCCAATCTTGGTTGCATTGGCCTTGTTTGTGCAAAAACTTTTCAATTTAATGTAACCAAAATTATCCATTTTGCATTTCATAATGCTCTCTATCATATCTCCATAAATCTGACAGGTAAACTATTCCTAGCTCTCCCAATTTGCGTATAGCATCAGCCTTTATATCTAAATTATGGACCCATTTTGACTTTATTTTGGTACATGGTGTAAGATTTTGGTCTATCTCTAGTTTCTGCCATACTCCTTTCCAGTTTTCCTCAAATAGTGAGTTCTTATCCCAGAAGCTGAAGTCTTTGGGTTTATCAAACACTAGATTACTATTGTCATTGAGTACTGTGTCTTGTGTACCTAACCTATTCCACCGATCCACCACTCTTATTTCTTAGCCAGTACCAAATAGTTTTGATGATTCTGCTTTATAATACAATTTAAGATCTGGAAGAGCTAGGCCACCTTCCCTAACATTTCTTTTCATTAGTTCCCCTGATGTTCTCGACCTTTTGTTCTTCCAAGTGAATCTTATTATTCATTTTAGCTCTATAAAATAATTTTTTGGTAGTTTGGTATGACACTGAATAAGTAATTTGTCATTTTTATTATATTAGCTCAGCCTACCCATGAGCAACTGACGGTTTTCAAATTATTTTGATTTAACTTTGTGTGAAAAGTGTTTTGTAATTGTGTTCATATAGCTCCTGGCTGAAACCTTTACTTTAAAAGTGCAGAATGAAGTGTGTATCTACATTCACAGCGGGAGTTGTCAACGCTAATGAAATCACCGGCGGATTTAAAAAAAAAAAAGCATCAGTGATTGAATTATTTCGGGTGGGGGTGGAGAGAGGAGGGGGTGGGTTACAGACAGGAAGCACCACCGAGGCGCCACCTGGCCGAGCTCAGCTCCGTCTGAGGATGCAGCGCAGGAAGGACGGGTAGGTACTTAGGTTACACGGCGTGGGGGGGTGGGGAGTTGGGGGTCAAGCACTGAGCCCCAAGGCCACGGCCAAGAACTGCGAAACCGCAGAGAAAGGCACTCCCCCACCGCCTAGCCGCTCAGCCTTCCTCTGAATTTCTCCTCCCGATTCCAGCGCGCTCACACAGTCCGACGCCCGACGTCGCCAGGTCACGCGGACGGCGTGGTGACGTCGGACGGCGGCTCGCAAGGGGAAAAAATTTTGTCCCCTCCCCCTCCTCCTGGCTCCCCCAGCTTCGGGCCCCGAGTGGACTATGCCGCCCCCGTCGTCTGCCCGAACCGCGGTGGAGACGTTGACGGCCGGGGCTTAGCCCGGCGGCCACCGCGGCGGCGGCCCCCAGTTCCAATTCCGCCCCGTCTCCGCCCGGAGGGAGGTCGCCGGGGGGAGGGGCACGAACCGACCGGCCCGGGCCGCCGGGGGGAGGGCGGCGGAAGGCGGGCGCTAGGGAGACCCGGGCTCGGAACTTGATTCTCGGAGGAGGGGAAGTTCCCGCCCAGGGAACCCGAGCGGCGACGTCGGGAGTGGCCTCAGGTGAGTGACCCAGGCGGAGGAGGGCCGGGCCGGACCGGGGGAGCCGCCTGCGCGCTCCCCGGCGGGCTGGGGGACGTGGGCGCCACAGCGGGCGGAGCCCCAGGGGAGGGAGACGCGGGGCCCGGTCCGCGAGTGACCCCTCCCCGCTGGGGCGGGATGGGCCGGCCACCCCCCCCCACGCCGTGCCCTCCCTCCGGCCCTGGGGCGACAGCTGCCACCCGCGGCTTAGCCCCGCGTTCCTGGCTGGTCCGGAAGCGCTGGTGTGTAGCGCTTTCAGGCTTTGCAAAGCGCTTTACTCATACTATCGCATTGATTCTCGCTACAACACGGGGGGTGGGGGCAGGGTCTATTGTTACCTCCTTTATACGCCTGAGGAAACTGAGACAAACCGGAGTGGGTTAAGGGACTTGCCCAGACTTAAAAAACTAGGAAGGAGGATGAATTTAAAGTCTGAGGTTGGATTTGAACTCTAGTCTCCCCCACCTCCCCTACTGCGCCACCTAACGGCCCGTACTGGTTACCAGTCTGATTTTTGGTGGTGATAGTGATGATAGCTAGTATTTTATTTATATGTGTGTATGTATATACATGCACAGACAGACATGCCTACACAATACACATAAGTGTATATATGTTACTATTGCATAGTATTCTATAGTATAGTAATATATCGATGTAAGTAATTAACGCTTAGCACTTTAAAGTTTGCATTTCCATCACATTTGATAACTCAGTGCAACCCATTATTATAGCCGTCTTTATCTGTGTGGCCATCATAATGCCCCATTTTACAGATGAGGAAAGGGAGAGAAATTGACTTGCCCGGGAGTCACAGAGCCCTGAAGACAGGAGTCGAATACAACTCCTGGTCAAACTCACCATCTGCTTATGTTCTGTAAGTGATGGAACTTATGGTGCCTGGTTGCCTGAACTCCACAGTGGCATTTTACCATTATACAAAATTAAAGATGATGATGATGATGACTGCTGACGCTAAATAATAAATAACCTGAGATGCTATCTCTTTGAGGATAATGACTGAAATGCTCCTAAAAGCTAATGGCTCTGTGATCTCATCCCCGTAGATACAGCCACCCATTATGCAAATTAGATGGAGATCAAAACCCATCCCGCCGAGGCCGGTGCTGTGAGAATTTTGTTCTTGACCCCTCCATAAATTCTCCAGTGGGAGTTCTCTCAGAGACCCTAGGTGGGAGAATTTTCCCCAAGTTCTGATCTTGCAGGGATGCTAATAAATCCCTATAGAGAAGTCTGTAAACAAAGGTTTTGCTGACCTCATTTCCCCAGCTAGTGTAGTAATGATGTAGTGATATTTCGCAGTCATATGATGCATTTCCTGCGAAGTAGCTGGAGGTATGCCTGTCACACTAGATTGGAGTGCTGGATTTGAGGCCATTGTTTTTCTTTTGGCTCTAATGGGAAGTTGGAGTAGATGACCTATAAGCTTCCTTTCAGGTTTAAAGCTATGCTTTTTAAATTTTCTACAGAGCTTGCCACAATTTATATATCTTGTTATATTTTTAAAATACAAACTACTTTCAACACCAGTTTGAAGTACTTAGTAGTTCTCTTCACTTAACAATAATTAATGCCTGTGTTGACCAAATATGTTAGGTTTTTATGTCATTTCGTAAGGGCAAGGTTTTTTAGGGACCTTCAACTTTTTTCATAATTGTTTTATGGAACATGATTTGATCAACAGCACAAAAATAAACTTCTAAAATAACAATGGGTGTGATGAACAGTAAGTACTTAAGAAAATATTGGGTTTGCCACTCAGTGGAACCCAGTTATTTTACTTACACTTTTGCGGATTCACAAAACTGTATGACACCTTAAATTTTATAGAAGGGGAAAGGCTCTGACTAGCAACAAACATTTATTAAGCACCTCTGATGTGCCAGGCACTATTTTAGATCCTGAGGACATAAAGACAAAAACACAAAACTGCTTATTTTCTGGAAGTTTACGTTCAATGGGGAGATTACATATGTATGAATATATAAAGAATAAATGCAAAAGGTGTTTTTGGTGTGTCACTGAAGGATTAAGTGGTTACCTACAATAACATTTTTAATTTATTCCTTCAGTTGCCTCAGGCTCATGACTAATCAGGAGTCTATATAAATGACCCTTACCACCATTGATCTGGCTATATAGTCAGATTGAATGCTGATCCTCATTTGTGAAAAAAGTCTTACCTTTGAGTTCAGGACTTGACTAGTATGTTGTGTAATGGTGGTTGCTCTGGAACAGAGGTTCCCAAAGTTTTTTGGCCTACTGTCCCCTTTTTAAAAAAAAATTACTCAGGGCCCCCCTGGAAATCTATTTTCTTTAACATTTGGGGTTTTTTTTTGTTTTGTTTTGGTTTTTTTGGAAATTTGGGTCATTTAAAAATATATAATTTTTTTTAAATGACACATCTTAAATTTAATAATTTATTGTATATTTGTGGGGTTTTTCCTACATTGAAATTTTGATGATGTAATATTGGGTCATGTAACCATAAGAGTATCAAATTATAAACAAGTCATTACAAGCACATATTCCTGCCAGTGCGTGCTGGACTTCTACAACAATTCCAGACAGGCTCACCTGCCAACACTTGCTTGTTAAGACCTGTTGGTGAACTTGACCACTGATCGGTTATGATTTGCGTTTTGTGTTGTGTGTTTATTTGGAAAATAATGTAATCACCACAACTTAACTGTTACACAACAGATGAAACATGTATGAACAGTTTTTCGAAATTTTCTTCTCTTTCCTTATGCTTCCACCTCCCCCTCTTTTTTTTTATTTTGTTTTGTTTTGTTTGTTTTTAATTCAGTTAACTGCTGGAGCAGTTGACCAGTATGGGAACCTCTTCAACTCTAAAAGCTTCTTCTGTTCTTGGAATTGCTAGCTCTGCCCCATTGTTTGTGATTGTATCATCCTGGGCCAGTCAATTAACTACTGAATGCCTTGGGCAGCTCTCTAAGACTCAGGTACCTAGAAGGTATTTCTGGGCATTTGGTAGAGAAGTTACTCACTGGGGCTCTATACCCATCAGAAAGAAAGAAAAAAACTACAAACACATCTCTACTCAGTTATTTCCAAAGTAGCTCTGCTTAATTTACTATCTTTTAGGTAATTTATAAACATTAGCAATTTTGTTAAATCGGAAAATTGCTCTTTGTTGTCTTTTTATATCTTTCCGTACTCTAGAATAATATGATTTTTCATTCTGGAAGGGATTTTAAGAGATCACCTAGTCCAGTAATGTCGCTTTGCAGATAAAGAAATTCAATGCTGAATAGGTCAAATGGCTTACCAATTGACACATATTAGTTACTCATGTTACATTAAGGGATTCAGTGTTCACACAGACTCAGTCTTGATCTTGGGAGGGTCTGACGGTAAAACAGCCTCTTTGGCTTGTTAATAGTGCTTGCAGTTTCTAAAGCTTAGGTATCTTGTATCTAGACCAAGTTTCCCCAAAATTGGGTAGCAGAGTTCTTTCCTACAGAGGTAGTCAGTGTAAAATGCAGGTACCAGGTTAGGAATAGTTTTTTATTTCTTCCATCGCAGAAATTGCAGACTACACAAAGGACTCCTGGGAACACGGAGAGAAACAAAATACTCAAATAGCCCATTAAAAACCCTTTGTGGGACTGCTGAACAAATATGTCCCATTTACCTTGTACCTGTACTTCCTGAGCATCTCATAGAATTGTCAGGTAGAGTTGGTGAGTTCTTGATCATGGTGTGGCTTTAGTCTTCCAGCTATAGGATTTAATACTGGACATCCTAGTCTCTTCTGAGAAGCATGCTTTTAAGGAAATGCTTTCTCAAACTCAGGATTTTATCAACTTGTCAAGACTGTCAGATAAACTTGAGACAGGGTAACCTGTCTCCCAGTCTGAGGAAGCATCTTACTATTTGCTGACCTGCACTCAGAAAAGGAAACAAAAAAATGGAAGAATGCGGCAAATTGAGAGGTCTAGGAACTGTATTTCAGGCATACTTGGACAAGCATATGTCTCCCATTGCCATGTGTTTCTGCTGTGTGTCACCATTATTGCTGTGATGATGATGATGATGATAATGGGGCGGGTGGGCTGGCAGAGAAATCCCTCCACTCACTCCTTCCTGATCTAGCCCTCTGCATATGTTGCATACTTTCTATACTTTCATAAGAAGTTTCTCTTGACGTTTCTTATGTTTCCACAGAGCACGTATAAAGCCTGGCATTTATTTCAGTGCCTTCCCACTTTGTTTTTTTGGCTTTGTTTTTGGTTTTTGGTGAGGCAGTTAGAGTCAAGTGACTTGCCCAGGGTCACACAGCTAGTGTCATGTGTCTGAGGTCAGATTTGATCTCAGGTCCTCCTGACTCCAAGGCCTGAGCTCTATCTGCTGTGCCACCTAGGTGCCCCTGATGACCTATTTTTGATTTTCAGTCTGTGAGAATCTTTTGCTTAATGTAACAGCCAGACTATTCCTTATAGCTACTCATCAGGTTGGATAGTATTTCAAGAGTTTCTCAGCATTCTTTAATTATGGCACTTTGTGTTTGTTCTGCCCACTATGCTTGTGGTTACCCTACTTCAACTTTCCATCAGTGGCTGCTTAGATGTGCTCTTTAGGTCTTCCTCTCTCCCTCTCTCTATTCCTTCCTTCCTTTTTGCCTCCCTCCCATTTTTCCTCTTCCCTTTCTCACCTGGGCTGGAAGCATAGCATCTACTTATGAGCCTGATTTCATTGCTGATTGTCGTGGAAACTTTGCTTTGTTTCTGAATTGGGTGGGTTCTCCACCTCTTAGAGAGTCTTGTGTCGCCCTACGCTCAGGGCCTCACCATAATGAGGCAGGACTTAATGGGGATGACTGGTTGGCCTTTTTAGCCCAGTTGCATCTCAGAACTTCAAGTGATCTACAGCCTTCCCCGGTAGTAGAGATTACAGGTGTGTGCTACCACACTGGCCAGTCTACTTTATATTTCAAGAAAATTTCTCTGTTGAACAAGTATTCTGCATAGTCTCTCAAATGGTATATTAAGCTTACTTATATATAAAAGGTTGAGGTTAAAAAGTAAAAGAATAGGAGAAAATGTAGGCATGCCCCATACCATTGACATCATTATTTTAAAATGCTGTAATAATATTCTATAGCAATTGTAGATTTTGCAAAGCACTTCCCCTGTCTAGCCCATGTTAGAGCAAGTATTTTTTTCCTCCATTTTAGGAAACTGAGGCTCAGAGAAGTTAATTGACTTGCCCATGGTTATTAAGGTGAAGATTTTTTTTAATATAGAAAATTAGCTGCCTCGTATTCCTTTGGACAGTCGTTAAGCGTTGAAAACACCATTTGCTGATATATAAGAATATTTCTGTAGTCTTATCTGCTGCTTGTTGGTCCAGTTTTCCACTAAAAGAAGTGTTACTTGATTTCCTTAGGACAGGAAAAAAGTCAGTGAGTCACAATGAACAAGAAAAGTAATTTCAAGTCATAGTGTTAAAACGTTTTATCTTGCAAGGCCCAATCTACTGTGACTTTTTTTTTTAATTTGCTTTGGTTCAAATTCTGACTGTCTTCTGAAACAGATAATTTTAAAAACTGGTCTATTATCAGTGAAAAAAATGTGAAAATACCTTGCCTATGCATTTTTTCTGTTTGAATGTATTGAATTGTAGATATAGATGTTAAAATTGTATCATTTAATATGTCTTGTGTTTGTTACTTTTTAAACATTAAAATGTTTGGTTAGAAATACTATCTTCCATGTAACTGTTGGTAATAAATTCCTGTATTTATGTTCCCTTAAAGAAATGGACTAAAGGACTTTACACTATCTTTACTGTAATTGAACCGGTGATGAGTATATAGATAAACAGTGCATATTTGTGAAGTGCTTAGCACAGTGCCTGGCACATAGTAGGTACTTAGAAATGCTTGTTCCCTTCCTTCCCTTCCCCTTTTTACTCTTCCTTTTCTAAACTCCCTCAAGAACCTGCCCTGTTCATTCTGCACCCTTCACCTCCCTTCCCCCAATCCCCCACCCCCAGCCTTCTTGCTTCATAGTTCCTTATTGACACTTTTTGATTCTTTCATGCTGCTTTATTCTTTTCGATTCTGTTCCAAACCACACAACTCTCAACTGATCCATCTGTCTGGAATGGTGAGCTCCCTTCTGATGAGAGGAGTATTGAGACAGCAAAATGTGCTTCTCTCAACTTTGGCCTGAGAAATGTCCATATATTATAAAGTACAAATATAATAATTCTTTAGCCTAGAAAATGGAAAGTCTGTGTCCTCACTCAGCTATGTAGTATTGTATTCTTTAAATGGAATCAGCTTTAGGAAAGTTTTTTGCAGGTTATCTCAAACATTTTTAGGGGTAACAGTTTGGAATCGTTCATATTTTTGCCGTTTATTAAGCATTCTTAATAAATCTCTGTAACAAAAGTTAAGGTTGGGAGCAGTTTTTGAAACTGTAGATATGGGTGCTGTAAATAGCCTGAAAAGGCCACGTTTCCTGACATATTTGAAGAAGAATAACATCCAAAGACTAACATTTTAACCAAATTTTTTTTCTTATAGTTGATTATGGAAGATTCCCACAAAAGTAACAGTTCAGAGACAGCACCACAACCAGGTACAACAGTACAGGGTGCTCATATCTCTCAAATTGCTCAACAGGTAAAGCATGGGTCAGTTTCTATAATTTTGAAATGATTAAGAATATACTGTATTTAGATTAATCCACTGGGCCAAATTTTAAAGTACTAGTGATTAAAAAGACCACCAACACGTAGGACTGTATGAAATGTTAAGATTTCATGAGAGTGGATTTGCACTTAATCACATCAGGAAAACTGTACTTTTATAAGGAAAAAAATTCTTTTTTAGTGTAATATATAGTCTTCACAGTCTAGAGACAAACTTCATTTTTAAGACATACAAATCAGTAATTTGGGTGTGGTTTTTTTTTCATATTTTTGCAGTCACTTAAGAAAAATGAGTTGAGTTGAAAAAAATTTTTATCTCTCTCCTTATTATAGCATTTTCATTTCCAAATATATCAGTTCTCTATTCATAGAAACGTAATTGCAAAAAAGAAAAAGAAAGGGGAGTGGGGTAGCAGTTCAGCAAAAAGTAACCAAAACGTCAACTCAGTAAAACAGTATATTCAATATTCTATACCTCTGCAAAGAAGGAAGGGAGGTTTGGCTGTTGATTTACCAAATTTAATTGAAGCAGATATTTCATAACATCTTTGTAAACTAATCAGCTCTGTAGTTCAGCTGGTTTATCATGGATGCTTGTTGATTTTTTTCCTTACATTATTCAAAGGATGATGACCATTATACCAAGTCAGTAAGTATTTACATTGTTTTTACCTAACAGACTGATTAGTGCATTCTGGATATTTTTCTTGAACAAATTATTTTAACATGGGCATATCTGTAATTTTTACCTTTTAAAGTCTCAGATGACTGTAGCATAAATTCCTTGCATGGCTATAATTTAAAGCATTTATTATACAACAACCCTGTGAAGTAGGAAGTATAAGTATTATTATTCCTGTTTTAGTGTATGTGAAGACTCAACTCCATCCCAGGTCTTCTGACTCCTAGGTATGCTGCTTCCTCAGGCTGCAATGATGCTCCTGTGATGAACAGAGCAGGGAGGATTCTGGGTGACTGAATGAAAGTGACGTTTGCTTTAGTTGCCATCCACTCATCTCTTTGTTTAAATGTGTTTCAGTTTCTTCAGTACCATTTTCATCTTCCTCTCTATTTACTAAACACTTATAACTCATGTAACTTTGCCTAATGGGCATCCACATGACCATTCAGTACTTCTTCTAATTTCCTATCTTTACATCTTCTCAGAAGCATTGGTTTTCCCTGACTTCATCTCTGTCTTCCCCAGGGTTTACATAGCCAGTATATGACAGAAACAGGATTTGAACCCAGGTCTTTCCAACTTTAGGGCTGGCTCTCTATTCACTGTTATATTGCCTCTCAGTTATTTAAAATTAAAACATTCCAACCTGGAAAAGGTTAGGAAAGCACATTTAACCCCAGTATGACAATTCCTACAGAAGGTTAGCCCCTGTAAATAAATTATCACAACAAGGAATCCAAAAAGACTGTCTTAGTCAGCAAATACTTGACTTGTTTGGCAAACAAAGAGATAGGGCAGCCACGGGCAAAACTGGTGTAGAATATAACCTTGTTTACACAGTCATACGGAGAAGAATTGTAAAGGTTATGGGCAGTATTGCCTAATAAAACAGTAAGAAGTCATGTAAAGAGGGTGAGGGAAAAGAAGAATCTTGGTGAGAGACCTAACTACATGAACACACACCAAAGGCATCTGATGGTGAAACTGAAATAAGGACAACCTAAAGGTTAGAAATAAAAAAGATCTATGATGTTTGTTATAACAAATTGTTTGTATTATTGGTGACAATGGGGTCACCACCTTAAGGTTCAGAGGTTGGAAAGGGCAGTGGTGAGTCAGGCATTTATTAAGTCCCTACTATGTGCCAGGCACTGTGGTAATCTATGGGGCAAAACCAAAACATCCTGCTCTCAAAGAAGCTCTCAGTCCAATGAGAGAGACAACATGCAAACTACTTTGTACAAACAGACTTTATAGAGGATAAATTGGAGGTAATCAACAGGGGGAAGGCAAACATCAAGAGAAAGCAAGAAAGGCTTCCTGTGGAAGGTGAAGTTTTAGCTGGGAGCTGAAGGAAGCCGAGCAAGGCAGAGATGAGGAGGGGCAGCATTCTAGGCATGGGGACAGTAAGTGAAAATGCCCAGAACTGACAGGAGGAGTGGCAGAGGAGTAGGTATCACTGAATACATAGAAGTGCTTTAAAAGGGGAGATGTGTGAGGTATAAGAAGATTGGAAAGGTAAATGGGGATGGGAGGAGGAGAGACGGGTTACAAAAGGGAAACAAAAGTAGAAAAAGCAACGGGGCTAAACCAAATATGCACAGAGGAGGTCCTTGACGTACTTGAGGTTGTTAAAGAGTTGATTCCCAAAGTGCACGTAGGAGAGAAAGGTACCAAAGACATGGAAAAAGTCTTGAAACTTATTCCTGCCCCGTTAAGAAAGGGGTGACAGAAGGAACATCAGTAACTACTGACTCACCCGTGTTTACTTTCCTACAATCTTTTGAAGATCTGCACACTGAGAGTGTCTTTGATGAGGGTGTGTTAGAGAGCAGCAAACAAGATCTCACCCGAAGTTTTCCACAGTTGACCCACAGCTTTACCAGCACGCAGTGAAATGAAAGATTTGGAGACTACAGTATGCCAGTAGAAGCTTACTGTCTGTTAACTAGGAAAGGGCATTAGATTCAGTAGAGTCGCAAAGCAACTTACTGTTATTTATTTGATCTATCAAAATGCTACCTTCAAGGCTCTCTTCCAACAAGCTGTCTCCCATGCATGTCAAAATTATATAAGATTTCTTTAAAAGTAAGGTAATAGAGATAACCCTCTTGTCATTAATAGCAAGTAAAACATAAAAGTATATAAAGTATAAAACAGAGACATTCTTGCCAAAGGTGTTTTGCATTCTAGGGATATCTGGTATGTAGTCAAGTTAAAAAGGAATTCCCAACAGATGGTGAAGTACTCTAGTTTTTCTTATTGTGGACAATAAGTGTGACAATATCAAGTCTCATAACATTCCAGAGCCTCCCATAGTCCCTCAGAAGAGTTTGGCCAATTATATGTGCCTGTTTTCCAAATGATGATGTGTAATTGAATTAGATGATCTATAAAACTCATCCACTGATTAACTGTATCTGTCTAGAAGACCATCTGTTAAAGGGTACAAGAAAAGTTTGGAGTAAATAGTCCAAAGGAAAAAAATAATTTTCTTTACCACCAGAAGAAGCAATTGTTAAAAGCAGAATTATCACTTTCTTATTGTATAACTGGTATGTATAAAGTGTTTTAGAGTTTACAAAGCATTTTCTTCACAACAAACCTATCAGGTAGCTATACTATTAATCTCCATTTTACAGATGAGGAAACTGAGACTCAGAGAGAATAATCGACTTGCTCATTCAGGATCACACCATTAGTGTCAGAATGAAATATGAGCACAGGTCTCTGATTCTAAACCAGTCCTTTTTCCACTCTATCATACATCCTTTTTGAATCCAGGCATTTAAGATGATTTCTATTATTTTCCTGATTGATAATCTTTAAAAGCTTGTTATTAAACCCAGCTTTAAATGGTTCATCCTTAAGCTTGGATAATATTATTGTTGACATTATGAATGATTGTCAGATTCCCAAGTATGGCAAAATCTTTCCTTTCCAAGTAATTCTGAATTAGACAATCAGATAAGGCATACTTTCTGAGATATCAATGTAAATGTGAGATAACTCCAAGACTTAAAGCCTGATAGAGGTGCTGTGAGCTAAAGGGAAATGACAGGAAGGAATTCTCAGAATGGATTTGTTTGATTAGACCTTAATTAGCTGGCAATGGATTTTACACTAAAATTCCATTGTACTACAGTAACACTTGCTAACCTGATAACCCTGTCTGCTGAGCTGAAGTGGATGGGGTGACAGGTTGGAGGGAGAGATGTGGACTTGTGGCCTCTAGGTCCTCAAGTATAGCCCTTTGACTCAAAGGACCTGGAAGGCCACATGTGGCTTAGAGGCCACAGGTTCCCCACCCGTGGGAGAGAAGAACACTGTGCTTCTGGAAAAGCTAAAGAGGGTAGGGGAAAGTCCAGGATTCATGGGTACATTCTCTATTCTTTGTAAATTTATGAGCACTGCCAAGCCTTGCTTATGCATGCTGTCTCCAGTCTTCCCAGGCCCTACTTTCATCTGCTCATGCCTGCCATGAAGAATGCTTCCCAAGGCCTCACAGGACACCAACACTGCCCGCGCAAGCTTGAAGGCTGATCTTAACCTCTAATAAACTGTCTTCGCCAGCAGATCTCTTCCTATCCACTCATACTCTAGCTGAACTCATTCCCCAATAGTTAACATATTCTTAACATATTCTCACCCTCTCCTGCTCTTCCTCTTATAGCGATACTGCCCCTGTGGAATAACAAACTCTTCTTTCCAACTCTATGTGCCTACTCAGTCATTCCTGTCCATCTCAGCCCACCTCTGTGTCCTACTACAAATCTTTCCACCCCTTCCACTGTGCCCTCTAGAAAGCTTGCTCCATAATTAACAAACTTCCTCTCAAACCTTTTTCTAATACCCATTGGCTTCCTTCTAATGACATTGCATCCCAGGTTATCCTTGCCACATTGGATGTTTTTTCTCTTATACCTCCTAACTCATTGGTTAGGGTGGGAAAGTTGGAGTATACCTTGTTCTCCCTTGCCACTTTGGGCCTCTCCTACTATTGTCATGCAGCAGCTTCTCATTTGAGATTTGTGCTATCCAGATTTGTCAGTCATTTCATATTCTGCTGGTTATTATCTGCTGACTCCCTTGGACATTCTTCCTCCTTTCTCAGTGAATTTAGTCCTTGCCTTGTTCTCCTTTTCCACCCAAAATGCTGCTGTCAGAATAGGAAGCTTAAACACATATGTTAATGATCCTTCAGATGCCCTAACTTCCCTGTTCCTCAGTCTCCTCAACTTCTGTGACCTGTTATTCCTCTACTACAGCTACTCCTCAGCTACACACAG